CGCATGGAATGTGTCAAACATATTTATAATATATATACCAAAATCATTGTATAGCCATTCAATATCTGATGTACCAGCATGGAATACCTAAAAATAACACAATTATAGATACTTATGCGTAGTACAACTCACAATTTTATAAACAATATTAAAAGACTCCTTAGCTACTGGCACGAAATTTTCTATTCTAGTATTTTTCTATTTAGTATTTCTGCTCACTTTTAATGTTTTTGGATTGGCAAATACAGTATTTAATACGTGTAATTCTTCTCTTAACACCAACGTATCTACAAGATAATCGTTCGACCGCGTTGATATTTGTAAGAGACAAGTGAAGACTTGATATGAACGATAACTGTGTCTCTAAAGATATAAAAACAACAAGTAGTAAAAGTGCAGACCACGAGAGCTTTATATACTTCACAATCGACAGCTAACTCTTGTTGTTCTTTAAGATGATCCATCATATTGTTCAGCTTGTCAATTGTATCAACATAAATATATGTTGTTTCATCTAACGTTTTTGGTGGCTAAATACACAAAAAAAAACAAGCAGAATATGTGTTAATTAATTATTCGGTGAATATAAATACTTGTGGTTCAACAAATTTCAGCAGGTCGCCGCCCGCTTGAAATTGTTGAATTTGATGGTGAAAAGGATGTTGCTGTACCACAGACGATTTTTTTTTTTTCTTTTTGGATGGTTGTGTATTATTTACATAACCAAAAATATCATATTTATCATACTCCTCATCAGAGTCAGCTGGAGGCACACCAACATCGCCAGCACTCGGACGATCACCTAATTTTTTAACATCGGATTTGCCTGCTTTCATTATGTCTGATAAACGCATGTTTTAAAATTGACAAATGTTGATTCTAGGCAATACGAAAACAGAGAAAAGTTTGTTGAAGAACAGGGATGAACATAATGCAAGGCAACAAATTAAATTATGCGTTTTCTTTTTTCTCCAAGTCCATTTTCGTCGCTAGTCCTGGAAGTACGCTCTATCCAATTCTTTCTACACTATAATTTGGAATTAATTTCTAGTTTATAGAAAATCGATCCGAAAAGTCGTGGAGCTTTTTCTGATATTTATAAAACGCTCGTAGATTTTCTGACTTTTTAGAAATTCGTGATTTTCGATTTTCTATAAATTGACTTTTCATTTTGTTCAAAAAATCGCCATAGAGTTTCCAAAAATATGAAAATTCGGCGTCGATTTTCTAGATACTGGAAATTCGAGTTTGATTTTCTAATATTCTAGAAAATCGATCGATTTAAATAATTCCCAAGATTCTGGAAACTCCACATCGAATTTCTAAAATGCAATAAGTCATTTTTTTCAGCTTAGCTTTGACAGCCGCATATATATGAAGTTTTTAATACCCATTACCCGAATAATACGAAGACGACTCTTTAAACAGTCAATGGTGTTGTATTTAATGCAAGGGATTTTATTTGGTCAGTTGGTTCTCAACGTTTTCTAGAATCAGTAAGTTTACAGAAGTTAAAATATCTGTTAAGTGAGCACGAGATAAGGTTAGAGTAAGATCTAAATAACAATCACCAAATGAACAGACAATGTTTGACCTTATCGTCTTTGTACCAATCAAAATACAAAACGCAAAGCGGTTTAAATTTCTTAAAATGAGTATGTTCAATGCTTTCCCAATATAAAATAGGTGTCGATGATGGGCTTTTGGACAAGTAATGAGCTATAGCTTTATAAAAATAAGTGCAAATACCAGCTTTACCCTCTGTGTTTAGGCCTTGAAACAAGGCACTGTATCGTAAAAGCAAGTTAATTTCTTTTGAGAATACATTAGTTCTCCATGAATAGAACCATACAGCTATAGAGCAGTCATCATCACTTTTTCCAGAACCGCTAAGTTATGCGTCAAGCAAATTTTGTCTTTTTTTTATTTATAGGATTTTCCAAGTTAACTGAATTGCCTGATGGTGATGGAAAATAGTACAATAATTTTTGTTTTCTTTTTCTACCTTTTTTAACCCTTTGGCCGCCGACATAAGAGAAGGAAAATACGGTTTTTCAAGAAATTTATTCGTTTTTTATGCAGGTACTCTATAGCGTGCCTTAATAAAATGGTGTTTTGGAAAGTGCATGGTGCCTAACGTTTGTTTTTATGCAAATGCTCATAAAAAATATACATAATGAATGATTACTTTGGTTCACACAAAAATAAGGCTCCTGACGTTTATAAACGGCGGCGGCGGCGGCGGCCAAAGGGTTAATAAACAAGCAGGTAAATGAGCAATGCATCTTTCAAAATGTAAATTATAAACATCAACATTTGAGAACATTTTTAACCTCGAAGTCCGTCAGATTTAGGCAGTCCCAGAGAAGCTTTTTCTTTTGTCATTTAATGTTTCAAGTTTCGGCAGACTTCATAGGTAACAAAGTACAGTAATTCATAACATATATTTATCTTCTTTATTTCACAAAAACATTTTCAATGTAACAAAATGGATGAGAGTTTGTCATTTTAATACACGTAGCAAACAAACAAAAACTTTTTATGAAAAAGAAATTGACATGAAAAAAGAAAAATTACAGTGACTATGATTATAATAAATACAAATTGTAAAAAACATCATGTACACAGATTGATAGCTAAAATGGAACAAGAAAAATTAAAAAATAAACAATAAGTTACTGTTTCTGTGTTTTACTTGTCTTTGACGCTAAGTAGACTTTATATAAAAAAACACACCGGTGGACAAAATATATTCAATAAAAAATATTACTATAGCCTCGACTGTAACATGAATCCTTATTTTAACCGTCTTGATTTTGCCTAAACTGTCAATCAAAGGTGCAGAATCTCCCCGTGAGTTTTAAAATTTTCCACGAACGGTAAAAGTTTTGAAAAATTGAAAATAGAGGACTGTGCAATGGTGAAACTTTATCCTCAACGCAGCACAAACTCATCTCGGATCAATAAGTATAATTCACCAACACACCTCGTAGAATTTTGCCAAATCCAATCAGAATTTTGCAAAATGTTTTCAGAATTTTACCAATTAAAGCAGAATTTTGTGAAATATAACCGAATTATGCAAGAATACCCACACCACTCTCACGGATTTCGCAGAATTTTGCCAAATAGATCCGTTTTTGCTGCGTTGAGGATAAAGTTTCACCGATGCACAGTAATGTAATAAGAGCTAAACGAAGCGCAGTATCTCGACCCACGGTATGGAAAAGTACTTAAAGATAAATGTGGGGACTTCTACATCTAGTTATAAATACGCAGTTTCTCTACTGTAAAATATTTGGCGCCGGCAAACCATGACTTGCCATAACCATCGTCAAGAAAAGACCAGATTAACGGCAGTTGCATAGTAATACCTCTATAACTACGTGTTCAATAATTAAGCATACTTGCTTGACAATTTTTTAAATAGGCCGAAAAATCTGATTTCCTTACTAGAAAACTAATAATATTAGATAACTTATAGTAGGAAAATCTTCGCGGGAAATTCACCGGAGGTAACCTATATCTCATAGTGCATTAGTGCATAACCTATCTGGGACTGATTGGATGAGTCATCACATCATTGACCACATACTATAGCATCAATATTTTCATATCGTCTCTTTAGTTTATTGAGCTACGAATCTATACTCTTCTCGTCTGGTCTACTATCAAGAGCAGATGATAGAAAACGAAAACAATAACTATGAGTATTTTTCTTTCTTATAATAAAATTTTTCGTTATTTTTCAACATTTTCTTATACGCTTTAGTTTTCTTTGAATCAGAATAGACAACTCTATTGAGCAGATATCGAATGCAACTGAAGTGCATCGAATCGGCTAGAGCTGTCATTCATCACACAGAGAGATTGTTATACGTTAATACTATATTTTCTGCGACAGTTTTTAGACTTGACTGCACCGTGTTTTACTCGGACTTTTCTTCGAGAACATGGTACAATTAGTTTCTGGAGTTTCTCTCAACCATCCAGCACTCTCACTATGCCATAGTCTGCACGTTTCGTGTAACATAAAAAGAGAATAGCAAAACATCTTCAATAACGCACGCGGCTGTCGTATTACTTTGAGAAAGCAAAATCAAAATGTTTGAAAGTGAAAACTCGATATACAATATCTGAATATAAAGTGAAGTTATAAAATTTATATGACAGCCACGTGCGTTATTGAAGATGTTTTGCTATTCTCTTTTTATGTTACACGAAACGTGCAGACTATGACATAGTGAGAGTGCTGGATGGTAGAGAGAAACTCCAGAAACTAATTGTACCATGTTCTCGAAGAAAAGTCC